AATGTAAATGTTTAATGTTTTTAATTTTTAAGTAATGACATAAAGTTTCCCTTATTAAAAAAATTAGCAAAATAAGTGAATATATTCAAATAAAGATGTTAAGTAAATAAATTATAAGCAATTATAAAAAAAATGTCAGAGGACTCATGCAAATGACCACAGCTCAGGAAACACTGCTGTGGATTGTGCTATTTCATCTTCAATGTTTTTAAACTTTTGTTCCAGGATCTATCTCCTGCTGAGGAAATGCCTGTCGCATAGTTTCAAATGACTCAAGTATTTATTAATAGAGAGGAAGAGGAAGATAAGAAAAATAAGACAAAGAAGGGAAAAAGGATGAATGACTCCGTAGTCCAGGCACATGGGTTCAGCTTGTTTACCCTGAGATTCTCATCACACTGACACTGTATCAGGAGGAATTCAGAGCACCAGGGCCAACAAATAAATAGAAAGGAGCCTAGAGAGGTTAAAAATAAGGTCAGGAAGTAACAAAATGAAACAACTAAGAAAACAGAAACAAATGGATCTATCTAATCTGACACACAAATCATTTAGAGGGTGGGGAAAACCTGGACATTCCAGAGGAGGCATGCTGATGTTGCTGGAGACTGTGAGAACCTCATGACAAAGTCTAAAGCAGCAAAGATGGCCTGTGGGCTCAGGCATAACCCCAGCTGTCCTTCCTAACCTCTGAACGTCTGCCCCTGCTGCCACCCACCATCAACCACCCTAGGAGCAGCATTCTGTTCACGAGACATCTCAAATTTAGGGTCTCAAAATTTCTGACCATTTGGATAAGTCCAAAAAAAAATCCTCTTCTTATATTTGAATCCCTAACTGCCTTGGCATCCTATTGGATGGACAATAAAACACAAGCTGAAACTGTCAAGATCCTACAGATGATGATAATGTGCTGTATATTTCAAACAGCTAAAAGAAAGGATTCTGAATGTTTTCACCAAAGAAAAATGATAAATATTTGAGGAGATAAAAAAAAGGTTTACTGATTCAAACATTATACAACATATACATGTATTGAAGCATCACATAGGTAGCCCATAAATATGAATTTTTAAGATTTTTTAATATTTTTAGTTGTAGATGAACACAATACATTTATTTTATTTATTTATTTGTATATGGTGCTAAAGATCAAACCCAGTACCTCATACATGCCAGGCAAGTGTTCTACCATTGAGCTACAAGCCCAAGCTAATTTTTAAGTATCAGTTTAAAAATAAATTTAAATCAAGGGCTGGGGTTCTGGCTTAGCGGTAGAGCACTTGCCTAGAACATGTGAGGCAGTGAGTTTGAGCCTCAGCACCACATAAAAATGAATGAATAAAATAAAGATATTGTGTCAAACTACAACTAAACAATCTTTTTAAATAAATAAATGCATTTTAAATCAAAACCAACAAGACCATTTTCAGGTGGGAGGTACTATTGTGCTCCTTTGCCAATGCCCACCACGGGGGCTCCAGAGCGTCTTTAGCATCCTTCCCTTTTCTTGCATCTCACTGGCAAAGGCTGCCTTCATTGAAACTATCTTCTCTTGACTAGTTGTTCTGCAGACCTCTTGGGACACCTTCCAGATAACTTCAGTACACATGGACAAATTTTTTGCTGTTGTTTTCCTCTTTCTCTCCTTTTTAAGCTCCTACAGTGATTTCTTTTTTTTTTTTTTAATTTATTTACTTTTTCTTAGTTCTCCGTGGATACAACATCTTTGTTTGTATGTGGTGCTGAGTATCGAACCTGGGACGCACGCATGCCAGGTGATCGCGCTACCGCTTGAGCCATATCCCCAGCCCCAACAGTGATTTCTTATAAAACTAAATGTCTCCAGATGAATAAAACCCCTTCACCAAAGTGCTACAGCAATCTTGCCTCCTGTTTTCTTCTAAACGTATTTTATCAATTACAAAGAAATGCTTGAATACAGAAGAAATACTTTGAGCTATGAAGTTGAAAGTCCTAAACACCACTCCATTCACCAGTTCTGTGATCTTGGCTGAGTTATTACCTTCTTCCTATATCAAATGATTATTACAAGGGAAATAATGTGTATACTAAAGGAGATTACATACAGTATAAAGCTCATAAGGAAAAGTAATTTTGTGCAAAGGTCAATATAAAGCTAAAACGTAAGTTATTTAGCACTCACTTATTTTCTGCCTTATAATTCTTCCTTGTTTCATGTATGCTCTCATATTTCCAAAATTGGTTTTAGTTTGTAAGGGCTAGCTCATTCACTAACACTTTATTTATATCCTCTACAAAGCCTGAGTTGGTTAGCTGAGTCAATTGCTTTATCCCACTGTGGACTCCATGTCTTCCCCTAGACTTGACCTTTACTCTCTTGCTCTCCTTTAGGTAGGAAGAGTATTTGTGTGGGGTTGTGGCTCAATGGTAGAGCACTTGCCTAGCACATGTGAGGCACTGGGTTCGATTCTCAGCACCACATAAACATAAATTAAACAAAGGTATTGTGTCCATCTACAACTAAAAAAAAAAAAAAAACTTTTTTAAAATAGTATTTGCGGATGTTTTTAGCATACTGTCGCTATACAGAGAAATCTGCAATTATGATATATAGTTTGAGATTAGTCTTTCTATAGGAAAAAAAAAACATGAAAATGAGAACAGATCACCAGAAGTTGAGAGATGATGTTGTCAAAACATATGCAGAGAAAGATTCTGCTAAATGAACAAAGAGGTATATGCAGGGGCCAAATTTGTCTATATCTAGAACCAGAATTCTCCAAACCATTATTTAACAGACCTAAGTAAACATTCATATATTATGATTTCATTATTTCAGATTCTCAAGACTAGGATCATTTAATTACACACTGATTCTTATTTCATCCTTTATAAGAGACGTATACTTACACTTTCAGAGTAGTGTTCATATTTAGTAAATCTCAGGTCAAGCCTACCTAAGCATCAGACTTGCATAATCATTCTTATTTATGAAGCACGCTGGCTTATACAGCAATTATTGGCAAGTTTGTTGATGTTGTTGTTTTTTAAAGAGAGAGAGAATTTTTTTAATATTTATTTTTTAGTTTTTTCGGTGGACACCTTTTTATTTTATGTGATGCTGAGGAGGATTGAACCCAGCACCCCGGCGCATGCCAGGCGAGCACACTACTGCTTGAGCCACATCCCCAGCCCTCATTGGCAAGTTTATACAGTGTAAGTTTGGATCTCTCAGATCATTCAGCTCTGGGTCACTCAATGCTCAATGTGCTTTTAAAACGATGGACCAGCAGCTATCATAATGAGTTTATCAAAATAATATCATCCCATGGGATCCTGCCTGGGGAACAGTCAGTCAACACCCTTCCCAGACATAAGCATTTTGTCTCCTCATCTCAAAGCACAGCTGTAACTGGACAGTTTTACATGTATAGCATGCATTCTATGAATTAACTTTTAAAGTGCAAGTCTTGAACCATTTGCTTGGACTGCCCAAGGAGTTAATTAAAACATCTAGTATATTCGTGGAGACCTGCAACATATCTACTGTGTAACCCAAACAAGATTGGAATGTAAAGGCTCTCAAACTTAAATGTTCAAAATCTATAAAACTACATGTTCTGATTCAGGAAGTCTGAGGTGGGACCTATAAGCCATGTTTCTTAAAAAATGCCCAGGTGATAGCCATGCTGTAGGCTCAAGAATCTCACCTGGAAAACAAGACCAGATAGATACCATAGCAGTTCTTGTGGAACAAGTAACACAGGGACATTAACAATTTAAACAACTCAGCCAGAATTCACCAAAGTAAACTACCACAGTTGAGAAGTAACACAACACAGTTTGTGTACATTTTTGTTCTTTACTAGAAAAAATATTTAAAAGAAATACTAAGGTTTGGGGTTTGTTTGATTTTTTGATTGATTTTTGGTTTTTGTTTTCCTATTCATTCTTAGGCCATGAAGGAAGTATTAAAATGGCTCCTCTTACTAAGCCCAAGCTCAGCTACCCTCGAACACACAGAAGGAGGGATCAGAGGAAGAGCAGGGCTTCCACCTGAGCACCAGCTCGAAAGCTCCAACACCCAAAAGGTGGCAGGAAGGGCACTCCCACAAGTTTCTCAGCTCACTCTGTGCACTTTCTGGAAACTCACCATAACACTGTGCCCAAGTGGACACACCTTATTCAGAACGTGCATTGTCTTAAACAGTGCAGATTCTAAGGTGACTGATGAACCATGAATTTTAAGCTATGCAACTATTTCTCTCCTTAAAATCTATGATCTTTAGCAATTGAAAGTCAGACCTCCTGAAACAGGCAACTGCCAGAAGAAAAAAAAAAAGATAAAAAATAAAGCAAATACTTGAAGGACCCAAGTAAATGAGGGTTTGGGGGGTTTTGATAGAATTATTTTTTAAATGTTAAATAAATCTATTATAGAGTTCAGCATTTTTAAATATACAGGTGACATCTGTTGGTGAATTGTGAAATCATTTTCATGGGCAGAATCAGGCTGCTTAAAAATGCAATGGACATAGTTGTCTTGCAGTTCAAAGGAGAAGTATTACATCAGGAAAATTCTCAGGGCAATTTATATGTGTGTGTGTGTGTGTGTGTGTGTGTGTGTGTGTGTGTGTGTGTGTGCGCTAAGTTATGCTATATATATTTTCTATTTACTTTTACTGCATTCTTCTGGAATTGGATTGCCTTAGCTAGATGAGACCAGAATAAATAGCCTTTTCAAATATATCATTGTGCTTTCCACTATAAATTCCTTGAATTCATGTAATATGTTTAATCCATACAGATAATATAAAGTTCCTTCAGGTCATACATCATGTTCATAGTTCACACTTAATCTACATTCTATACCTGGGCATCATACCTACCCGGTTCTCAATATCTTTATTGAAGATAGGATGCTTACTAGGGCAGTTAAGATTTCAGTTTCCAAATTACAAGAGCACCATCTTCTGGTGAAATATATTCTTTGTAGGAAAGGAGTTAGGGAAATACCAAAAATGTCCTGATTTTTCTGACCAAAAAATGGCAGTTTTATCACTAATAGGTTGAAATTCTGTAGTGCTCTTTATTTCATTTGGAAGTTTCACTACATCTGCCTTTTGAGAAGTATTCTTCTACTCCTCAGCAGTGAAAGGAGCTAGTCTAATCCTTCCTGGTTTGTTAGATTAAGCGGGTTTCAAGTTTCAGCTCCTCCTTTGAATTCCAGCCTGATGAAACTTCCCTGTAGAATCAACCAAAATGGAGCCTCTCGCTGCTCATCCGTTAAAATGTTCCGGGCCCAAAGTGAAAATATTTGCAGTTTTGCTCTCTATGGTTCTGTGCACAATGATGCTATTTCTCCTACAACTAAAATTCCTAAAGCCTAGAATCAACAGCTTTTATGCCTTTGAAGTGAAAGATGCAAAAGGAAGAACTGTTTCTCTGGAAAAGTTTAAAGGCAAAGTAAGTTGAATTTTCGGATTTTATATCTGTTGATTTTCCATGTCTCTGCTTTATCTCTTAGTAGAATCAATGCCTTGCCATTACATAGTTACTAGTTAAAATTTGGTCTTCAATGTAATGTTATTAGTACATCACTTTAGTTATCAGTTCTGAGAGTTTATATGCTTTCTAATTATCTTATTCTCAAAAATGCTCTAATTTGTGTTTTAAGTTGTCTAGAAAATGCTTATAGTTAATAATGTGAATATAGTGATGATTACTAGTAAAAGTATCATCTATAATCTAACAATAAAAAGCACCCTATCAGTGATGATATTATCATTTATTTTTAAATAAGTTTTCATGCATCCCTAATGCTTTTTAATGGCAGTAATGTATCAGTCTGAACTTGTGCATTTAGGTATAGTTTTCAATAAAACTGGGTATGTCTAAAAAGCATGAAATCATCATCCATCAGAGGTTATATTCCCCTAAAATGGCTTAGGATTTTAACTACATGCAGGAGGGGAGGGGTTTTTTAATCTTTTGCTTCACTTTCCGGTTGGATGTTTTTCTTTTTCCGGGAGGTTTCACTAGTTGTAAACGTGGCTAGTGACTGCCAACTCACAGACAGAAATTACTTAGCACTGAAGGAACTGCACAAAGAGTTTGGACCATTCCACTTCAGCGTCCTGGCGTTTCCATGCAATCAGTTTGGAGAATCGGAACCCCGTTCGAGCAAGGAAGTAGAATCTTTTGCAAGACAAAACTACGGAGTAACATTCCCCATCTTCCACAAGATTAAGATCCTAGGATCTGAAGCAGAACCCGCATTTAGATTTCTTGTTGGTAAATATATTTGCCTCACCAGTATGTCTTTAATTGCTATTCATTCTTACACAAATATACCAGGACTATACTTTTTATTTCATTTGAAATTTTTTATTGGGAAAATTTTCATAAAACGATCAAAAAGACAGATTCTTTGTAACTTTCTAGAAGTTATGCTACCATAAAATCAGTACTCTTAGATGGCAAAAGAAGTTTACTCCAATGTATTTAATTTCTTACAACCATCTTCCTGAAGACTTTACTTGAAATATGACTGTGACTTTTTAACAAATTATCATAACTCTCCTTTTGCTTAACTAGCATTTGGGGGAAATGTCCCTCCCCATTATTAAATCTGCACATTTCAAAACTATTGCTGAGCATTATCAACTGAACATATCTTTATGGTTGATTTTATATTTCCTTTCTTATCTGAGACATTATCCTCAAGGATGAATTTCTCAGTTTACCAGGTTTTTACTAAAATAAAACTTGAATTTTTTTTCAGAAAGCATTAATATTAGGCTTTCTTTACAATTAAGCTAGCACAGAAGAATTTATTTAAAGACTTCCTAAGGTTAGTTAGCATAAAGGTAGTGTAGATAGGGGCTGGGGATATAGCTCAGTTGGTAGAGTGCTTGTCTTGCATGCACAAGGCCCTGGATTCAATTCTCAGAACCACCCAAAAAAAAAAAAAAAAAGGTAGTGTGGATAGAAACTTTGGTCTTACCTAGGTACAAACTCCTGCTCAGTTGCTTTTGCTGTGTGGCTTCAAGCATACAACTTAATTTTTCTGTACCTGTTTCCTCATTTGTAAAATGGGGCTATAAGTAGCACCTACTCACTAAGTTTTTTGGGAGGATTAAGTGTATTCATAGTCAAACACTTACACACTGCTCACTCTGTACCAGATACTACTCTAAATGGCACTCAGCTAATGTTCTCTTACCTTATACTGATGTCATCTTCAGATCTATTTTCACTGTAAATAATTTGAGTATTGACAAAACCATGACCTCAGGCATATCAAGCTTCAATTCAACAAACAAGATGTTCAATAATATTTTATGTAAGTAATAAGAAACTTCTAAAAACATTATATTCAATTTGTAGGGAAAGTTGATTTAGTGCCTAACATCATGAATACCAACCAGGAAGTCTTTATTCCTTTTATTTCTGGGGTTTAGTGAAAAAAAAAATCCAGAATACATGTCCTTAAAATAATCTTTCATCAATTATAGTAGCCAAATGCTTAGACATAGTAGCTCATAGGTTATTCCTCTTCATCACTAAAAAAGCTTGTACGGGGCTGGGGCTGTAGCCTCATGTGTGTGGCATTGGGTTCAATCCTTAGCACCACATAAATGTAATATATACTGTGTGTTTATCTACAACTAAAAAAACATTTTTTAAAAAAAAAGCTTGTTTATACAACTCCATTTAATCTGTACAATCAAAAAGATAATAGTTCACAATGAAAGTCACTACTCTGTATAATTAAAGTGCACTAATAAAAAAGTTGGCAGTGACTAAGCTTCCACCTGCACTTGGGAGAGGAAGGTAATAGTGCCCAGAGGTTAAGAGCACAAACACTAGAAGAAGGCCTGACTATCAACCTTGGCCCTGTCAATCACTAACCACATCATCTTCAGTGTAGGCCTCCTTCTCTCCATCTGCAAAATGGGGATAAATAATAATACCCATCTCAGAGGGGTTCTGTAAAGCTACAACAGGCCGGGCACTGTGGTCCAGGCCTGTAATTCTGGCAACTTGGGAGGCTGAGTCAGGAGGATAGCAAGTTGGAGGCCCACCTCAGCAACTTGGAGGCCCGCCTCAGAACTTGATGAGAACCTGGCCTCAAAGTGGAAAATAAAAAGGGCTGGGAATTTAGCTCAGTGTTAGAGAACCCCTGAGTTGAATCCCCAGTACTGGGGAAAAAAAAAAAGTTTAAGAGGATCTATTCAAAGCACTGAGCATACTTTACTAGGCACATAGTAAGCACTTGATAAACTTAAAAAAAATTATATATATATATATGTATATATTATACATATATATATATGTATATGTATGTGTGTGTGTGTTGTAGGTGGACACAATACCTTTATTTTTATGTGGTGCTGAGGATCGGACCCAGTGCCTCACACATGCTAGGCGAGTGTTCTACCACTGAGATACAACCCCAGCCCCCACTTGATAAATTTTATAGTTATTATATCTTGTTCTGATGTACATCAATGATATGAACATAAATTATTGATAATATACAGGAGGAAAAATCTACATTTCTTAGATTTATCAAAAGATTCATAATTTTTCAAAATAAAGTGGCTAAATTCCTTGTCATTTTCAGCTATGTAATAGTTTTAAAAACATTCATATATTTAACATGAAAATTAATTCCCACATTTTCATTACCAAGGACTTATTCTTTAAAAATTTTGAGTTAGTGACAAGGTAAATTTCTTATTTAGATCAACAAATCTAAAATAGACTGCTTTGGGGGCTGGGGGTATAGCTCAGTGGTAGAGTGCTTGCCTAGGGTGCACAAGGTCCTAGGTTCAATTCCCAGAACTGAAAAGAAATTAAAAATTAAACAACTTTGTTTCATTTTATGGTTTTCCAGATCAGTAGAGTCATCAGTGAACCCATCGAGTATATTAAAACCTCATTACTCAAACTTGTGCTCTACTTTCTTTGGGTGTTTTGTTTTGCTTTCTAGAACCTGATTCTAAAGTTGTCACTTATGCAGATACAAAAAGAAATGAAAATCTTAACAAAGAATAAAGTTATGCTCATGAAAATATGTTGTGTATATTTTAGATTCTTCAAAGAAGGAACCACGGTGGAATTTTTGGAAGTATCTAGTCAACCCTGAGGGTCAAGTCGTGAAGTTCTGGAGGCCAGAGGAGCCCATTGAAGCCATCAGACCTGAGATAGCAAATCTGGTTGGAAAACTCATCCTAAAAAAGAGAGAGGACCTATGAAAATACCATCAAGCCACTCTAATTCAGAGAGAAATATCTCCATGAGGATTTGATCTCTTTTTAAATACTTTGACAGCATTTCCAGCACATTATCTTGCTAGTCAATGGTAATGAACGTCCTCAGGACAGAGATGTAACCCAAAGCTAAAAAAAAAAAAAAAAAAAAGTAGCCAAAGAATTAAAATACTTCATCTGATATACTAAAAATTTCAGAATACACAGTCACCAATGTGTTCCATACCCCAGTGTCCAACTTGACATTTTATTGGATTGTACTTTATGGAAATGCCAACACCCTAGACCACTGTTTGGATTTCACGAATTCTGTGTGACTGAAATTTTTGATGTAACTATAAATGGCTATGTTGATGCAATAAAACAAATAATGAAAATGTAAAATACATTCAAATCCTTACATACCTTTGTTTAATGTACAGAATTTTGCTCTTTTAAGTATAGGTTTCTAGTGTGTTTTACTATACTTAGTCATTTTTATGATATTATAGTATTTGAAAAAGTATCATTTTCAACATCTCTCTCCATTGTTTTCTGGAAGCAATCTAAATTCCAGACAGAACAGTTGAGTCTGCCTTATTTTTGAGTGAAAAATCCCAAGTGTAGGAAAAAGGCCATGAGCATGTGATCATTTAGCAACAACCTGCCAAGTTGGTGAAGGTTAATTATAACCTCATGAAATATGTATTCACTGCATAAAAGGATTAAAGACTGAAGCAAAATCTGTATGACAATGAGAGAAAAAAAAATGCACTCATGTAAAATTTGGCTAAGGAGGAAGAAGACCTAATAGCCTGTGGTTTGACTCCCAAATTCTGATTTGATAGGTGAAAGATTTTTGTGGTGAATTCAGTAACACCACCAAAGCTTATAGTTCTGGGTCTGGATTAAGTTCTTAAGAAAACAAAAAATATTTCCTGGAGTACCTTCTGCTTTAAAGTATCCATGCAACTATTCAGCTTCAAGTGTGCTTAGTGTAATAGTAGGTGGCGGTGGAGCAGTTTCCATCCTAGTGATTTACAGGGATAGTCTCAAGAACGCCAGATTAGTATATCAGCAAACCTGCTCCCCTCTCAGCTACTATGTGACTTGTCACTTTAATTTCAGTTTCCTCACCTACAAATTAAGTAGAGGATGGAAAGAAACAGAGAGCCCCCTTAAAAGTCAATGAATACACTTAGCAGAAAAGAAATCAGAACTAGCCTAGATGTTGGCAAGGACACAGGAGCTATCTAACTAGATTTCTAGTAGGTATCCTTTGCAATTTACCCCAGAGTCTTAGCAATTGAATTCTGAGCTTCTAAACAAAAATTTAGTCCAGGTAACCCCTTCAAGTGTTGCTTCCAGAGCATTCTTGCCTCATGCCCCCACTTACTTTCTTGAGCTCCTCTTCAGCACAGTGGCACTGCCAGGGTGTCTTGGTGTGCCTCATTAAGGGTATAAGCAGAATTGCATGTGCCAGCCCCACACAGGCAAGTCCCCACTGCCAGACGGTAACAGATGCACTGGTCTTCACTATCCCCACAAATGTTATTCAGATCCCCATCCTGCCTTAGTTATTTCCAAAGCCATATAAATGCACTTCTCATTTAAAAATTTCCAACCCTGGTTGCCTTATCCAACCTACTGCCTCTTCAATAGTCAGTCTCCCCTTAGGCTTTGGCTATCCACAGCAGGCAGGTGGGGCTTTAAAAATGTGTCCTATGTATTTCCTTGAAAGAAAGGAAATGTGTCCATTCAGGATTCCCTAAGGATGAGGCTACATGTGCTGAGAGAGAGTGGAGCCATTTGCTGATATGCTGCCACCCTTAAGTCAAATGTTTTACACAAATACTGCTCAACAAACACATGCCGAGAAAAAGTCCCATCTTTTCTTAAATTAAGCAGTCCTCTTGTAATCTTGTCTGGAACACAGAATGCAGTAGTATCCCTAAACTAAAGAGTATAACAGAAAAATATCAGGCATTACATAAAAGGGTATTTTATCTCTTCATGACAAAGCAAAAGGGCAAAATCAAATGTGTTTTAACTGAGGTAAATAATTTTGTATTTGTTCTAGTTATAACAGAATGCATTTCAGTTCATTGTACACAAATGGAGCACAGCTTTTCATTTATCTGGTAGTATATGATGTAGAGTTGCACCATATGTGCAGTCATACATGTACTTAGGGTAATGATGTCTGTCTCACTTCACCATCTTTCCTATCCAATAATTTTACTTGAAGTTTGATAGTTTCATTGGATGGTGAAGAAAAATTTATAATAATTCCTGATCATCATTTCTTGGCAAATGTAACAAAAGAGTATTGGGGTCTGAAATAAATATGAATTTACCTGAAAGCTGTACTTCATTTTCTTAAATGTTTAATAATTTTAGTGTATCTATAGTATGTGGATATGTACATATATAGCATATATAGCACATCTATAGTGGTGGCTGGTGAATGTTCAACAAGAGATTCTGGAGGAGGAAGGAATCCTGGACTTTTGGAATTAGCCAATTTCCATGGTGTCCTGTGTATTTCCTTGAAAGAAAGGAAATGTGTCCATTCAGGATTCCCTAAGGATGAATGCTCCCCTGTGGCCAATTTCAGTCTACCAATGGTTTATTTAATAACTAATTTGTAAATTTTCTGAAAATGTAATAATTTATTTTCACAGACCAATAATACAAACTGGCTCTAGCACATCAAAATTCCTAAAACTTAAGACTTGATCAAGGAATCATAAGGATTTCCAAAGAGAAAAGTCTAGAGCAAAAATCTATCATACATACTCTATTTCTGTTATATACTATTTTGACAGGTTATGTAAAAATGTAGGAGTATATGAAGTTACATTAAAATCATTCAACTTAACTAGGCTGTCTTGCAGATAAAAAAAAAGAAGAAGAAAAGAAAAAGAAAAAGAAAAAACTCCAAGAGAATTGAAGGCAGAGAGGGAGGAAAGGACAAAAAGACAAAGCCCCCACTCCAAAAAAATTTTTTTCACTATATTTTCTTTAAAAATATGGTGTTTCAGAAGACTGCCTTGTGTTAGGTGGTTTCTGAACAAAGTAGCATCTTAATTAGCAGTATTTCTTTGAAAAAAATAAGACATTTGGATAAAACTGGTAAAGGGATGTTCTGTCCATATTTATTCCTTAGACTGATGTCATCTTTTCCATGGAATAATAAAAGTCAACTAGCTTGGGGCTGGGGATATAGCTCAGTTGGTAGAGTGCTTGCCTCACATGCACAAGGCCCTGGGTTCAATCCCCAGAACCACAAAAAAAAATGTCAACTAGCTGTTACAAATACAGACTAACCCATCAAGCTCTTCTTCCTTTTGTTCCCTTTCTCCAGCTAAACTATTAGGGCCATACTTTGCAAGAGTTGAGACACATTCTCTTTTGGAGGAATAAAGAGCAGTAAGGAGCAAGAGATAAGGAAGCCAGTTAGAGGTCAGTGAAGGGGAGCATTTACGTTTTCAGCTCAGAGAACAGCATAATGGCTGCCCACGAGCAAATACTTCACCATCAGTAGAGCTTCCTTCCACTCCACCAATCCCTTTTCCCTCTACTTACCCCTTGACTTCCCAGCATGTATCCCTGGCTTTCTCTCTCATACCTTTGGAAACATTTTCTTTTTTAATTGATGTGTTCATCTTTCCCCTTTCCCATTGATCTCTTTAACTTATTTTTATTTCATTTTATTCCTTTTCTTTCCTTTCTCATCATCTCAATAATATGAAATTAAAGAAAGCTTAAATATTTATTCTGCTAATTGAGTACAAATACTGGTATCTTGTGTCTTGCTCTTTAATTTAAAAAAATAAAACACAAATGACAAGCCCTCTAAATTCAGTAGATTTTATTTTTATTGATAAGTCAGTGACTATCTACAGGAAATAACACATCAAAATGTAATCTTTTGAAAAAGATGAAAAGAAGCCAGACATGGTGGTACATGCCTACAATCCCAATGACTTGGAAACTGAGATGAGAGGATTGAAAGTTCAAGACCAGCCTCAGCAATTTAGGCCCTAAGCAACTCAGTGAGATCCTGTCTCAAAATACAAAGTTTAAAAAGGGGGAAACTGGAGAAAGTAGGTTGGTAATAAAGCACCCCTGGGTTCAATCCTCAACAACAACAAAAAATGAAAACAATATTTACATATTAGGCATCCTTAAACACAAAGACTCTAAAAATAGAATCAGATTGGGCAAATAACAAAAACAGAAATGAAATCTGAAAGTAGTAAGATGCATAAACATCAAATTACAGTACCTATTCAACCTATGTTCTAGAAATGTTTAAATTTAAATAAGCACAAAAATTACCAACTAACTTATAATACAATAATGTAAACATTGTACTATATTTCTTATATTTCAAATCAGATCATGAAAATCAGTTGCACTAACTTGCTGCAAATGTCCACATTAGGACACCATATGTTTGAGACCCAACATACATCTGACCCTGCTTCATAGGTCAAAATGGCCTCCAAGGGAATGAGAAAATATTTAAAATTATATTTATGGTCAGTTCTTCCTACTTCATAAGCTAAATCTCATGTATCTCCAAATATTACATAATAAATATATGAAATATAATTTTTTTCAAAATGGAGGTAAGTATTTCAAATTCAACTCAATTTCCAGCAAAAAAAAAAATCCACAGTTTTCTTCATATTTTGAGTTAAAATGTTTTAGTCAACTTACTCACTGAGAAATTACTTCAATTCTCCCTTTAGCTATATGTATACATGGTCATAGCGATCTATTCCACTGCCAAATTAAGAAACTGATAGTCCAGAAAGAATACAAAAGACTCAGTTGAAAACTTGGGGAAAGATAAAATTGTCTTAGATGTTCTAAATATTTTATTTTAAAAAATATATAATTTCGCAATTACTTTAATATTGTTTAGCTAAGACTCCAGTCAAAAATATCACTTGAAATTTTTAAAGTAACTATGGTACTTCCCTCACCATTATGAGGCTGCCCATTGTGTTATAATTAAGTAACCAATAACAATAATAACTGTTATGGTATATAGTACACTGCTTCATAGCAAAACAATACACACATTACAGATTTAATTACACTCTGATGTTCATCGTATATGCAATAAGATAGCAGTTGCATGTTAGCTGATGCCATTTATATATCAACCAGCTAACAATACACTGCCAACCCATCACACACAGGTCACCAAGGCACTTCATTAACAAGAGGAATTTATCCAGAAGCAAGTGGCAGGGTAGCTGTGGCTGCTGACTTGACCAAAGCAGCCAGCTAACAATACACTGCCTACCTGATTCAGATCATTGCTGCTTTTCACAGCCCATGAAGTCAGTGAGGCTAAATTCACAATATGAAACACAGAACAGAACTTTAATT